TCCCGGCCCGGCCCAAGTTTTCGTGCCGTGCCGAGCACGGCCCATTAATATTCGTGCTCGTGCCGTGCCTCATTTAAATGGACTGGGCTCGTGCCGTGCTGGGCCGACCCGTCCCGTTTGACACCTCTACCTAAGAGCCATATATAAGGCCCTACCTATAGAATTCTTGCATTCTAGCCTCCCCGCAATATTAGAAGTTGGAATAAAAAGGGGGCCGTTTGAAATAGGAACCCCTGGTATTTAAGCCCATTGCCTTATTGGTCCAATACGTTGAACCATGACAGACGAAGAAAGGGAAACATTACAGAACATTTTCCCTCTAAAGAAAGAAGAAATTTGACTGAAGTTCCACGGACTCAGCTTCTTCGTCCCAAAGTTTCATCTGGTATAGATCAATTGCATTTAGCTGCAGCACTGGCAGGCAGTTGCTTCCAGTTAAAAAAAAATTTCCTGCAAGACAAAACTCAGTTTTCAAACGTCACAATTGAAAGCAGGCCAAAAATAATAGAGGAACAAGCAATTTACCTGATTCAGTGAGAAACCACTAGTTAAATTATTTGTCTGGCAGTCAAATTCTGCAAAAGAAAGCCTTGATATCAGTTCATCAACGACTAGTTAAATTTATGTGAAGAAATGAAACAACATATCACTGTGAATGCAAATGTTTGCCAAATTATAAGGACTGCTAATATCGCCACGAACAGAACCTAGAAGAAGAAGATGAAGAGAAAAGGATCCCCACAGATCACAAAGGACATACACCATTGCCCATTTTGTACTACACAATGGAACCCTAACCCCTAAATATATCCAATGAATAATTCTATAACCATTTGAATGGTTTGCTTAATAAAGGGGTCATATCAAAATTTCATAACATTATGGCAGATCTTTCATACATAAAACATATATGAATAAATAACATTAAGGGTAAAATCTTTTCATACTGAAAGTTCAATAGTTTAGCTTCATAAATGTGAACTTTGGAAGCTACTCTTCCATTAAAATCACAGTATTACTCGTGTTCTGACTCCACTTGTAAAGCAGAAAAAGTCAAATCCATAGTGGTGATAAGCAGAAATTTCACAAATATAAGATGGGCCTTAACAAACTTTAGGCAGTTGAACATTCTAAAGGTTGCAGGGGTTAATACAAAATCTTAAAGGAAGGGATGGACTTAACTCGCGCACCAATTTGAAGTTTCCTGTATCTTTAAAGAATAAATTGGAGTGTTTTATCATATAAACAAAAAATTGAAGTTTTTGATATCTTCAAAGAATAAAGTATTTAACAAAGCTGATAGGATGTCTTATCATATTAATATTTATGTATACCAACTACGAAATATGACAGGACATCAAACTCGTCATACCAATAAAATAAGCCAATAGGAAGAGATTTTTTCTTTAGTCAAAATACAAGACGTAGAAAACTTTTTGGAAGAATATTTGGGGTCGGAATGACCACCACAAATGCTACAATTGGTGAATCAGAATACAACATGTGGCAATGAAAAATTGTAAAATGCTATATTTTATATTTATAACTTTTTTATCAACATAATAATGAAAACCTCTTAATCTTCATAATACAATCAAATTAAAGATAAACTGTACTTTTCAATTTTGTTACATAACCAAAAAAAGGTAATTGTCGATAGGTAATGAAAATGATGAGAGGTCCATAACAGCAGTTACCATGAGATATAATATCATACATAGAATTACTGTATTATGAATGTTCAACCGTTGACACCAGAACTGAATATGGTAGTCTTGGCACATGTTGAGCATCAAAACTAGCACATATATTCCCATTCAATAAATATATTGGCTATGTTGATAGAGACCAACCTTTAATAACTACAAAAGGTGTAATGGTGCAAATAGGTCCTCGTGATCTGGAAAGCTAGTGGTGAGGTTGCCTCCCATGTTGTTCCCATGGTCACCTGACATAATGAAAAAGTGATTACCTGAAATAGATGGGAGGAGAGGGAGGGATAAGCCAAATGTTTATACGTCAAACCATGTTGCAAATATATGTAAACTAACCTATGGTACATTCGTGGGAACCACCGCAAGTACATCACACGAACATGAGCAAGGACACAACCAAAAAGACCAGATGTCTGCAACAAACGACATTATTTTCACTTAAGTCTATGGACCACGGTTTATAAACAACATTGAAAAAAGCCACACCTGATATACATGCAAAGCCCCTCTATCATTTATACAGAAAAACACTAACATCACGGAAGAACTCTAGCTCGCCCTAACATCGCAATCGCAAAAGAACACTAGCTAACCCTAACACTACAATCGCAAAACAACGCTAATTAACCCTACCATTGCAACCGCAAAAGAAAGCTATCTAACCCTAGCAATCGCAAAAAAACGCTAATATTGCAATGGAAAAAGAGCGCTAGCTAACCCTAACATCGCAATATAAAATTAGCTAACACTAAGATCGCAAAAGAACACCCGCTCTAACATCGGAGAAGAACACTAACCCTCAAATCAAGGTTCTGGCCTCCTTGGATCGCATTCGCATGTTGCTGGTAACGAATCCGAAGCACCTCGACCTACCGATCTGACGGTCCTCGATGATCTTCGATTCGGTATCTTTCATCGGAGGGGGAAAAGACCCTCTCCAGTGCCTCATTGTCGGTGGTCCAGAGGAGCTCACCGACGAACTATCGGAACTCAATCTCCGCGATCTCGGCGGAGGCCATAGCAAAACGAGACGAAGGATAAATTGTAAGCAGGATAAAAATGAAAAATCTGGAGCGAGCGAATAATAGTCCTTTTTAGTGCGGTGATAAATTGTTTTTTATTATTTATAATAATAATTTTCGACCAACAAAATTGTGTAATTGTTTGTTTGAAATATGAGAATCTGGTATATTGACAAAATCTTTATTTATTTATATATTTTGGCATATGGACATTTTGGAAAAAGCAAAAGGAGAGAGAAAAATTTTAAAAGAAGCAAAAATGGACAAAAATGCCCTTATTTATTTTTAGATTTCTTAAGGAATCCAATACATTTGCATGTCTTTGATTTGAAAGTTGAGTGGTTTTTTTGTCTTTTTTGAAAAAAATTTGGCTTTTTTCAAAAGTGAAATTTTTTTTATGTGTAAAACCTCACAATCAAACCATTTAAAATGTATAAATTCATTAATTTTCTTACATTTGTTGATAATGGGATTAATCCACTCAAATAAACTTCCCATTCTAAACTTCTCATTTATAGTCTTTTCAATTCATAGATTGTCCGTTAAATCCAGAATTGTATGGGCCGCAACCAATGGCAATGCATAACTAGAGGCCCATTTTTCAATAATTTATTTTTTCTCTCTTGCCCTCACAAAGTGCTAGCATGAGACACCAAAATCTTTTTTTTTTGTTTTTTTTTTAGGACCTTTCCTATTGAGAGAGGCGATAGCATACTAGACATATTGAGACACCTAACCCTAAGTGGAAACTATTCAACAAATTAGGATTTGAATTTATGAAATTAATCAAATGTAAAATAAGGTGGAGGAAATATAATTCTCATACAATATTATTTTTTAGTGTTTGAAACAATAGCAAAGCATGAAATGTGGCGAAAAGAAATTTCGTGTTCGGAATACAATTTCAAACATGTGAGTTTGAGTTTAACCCACACATATACAAAATCAATTATCAATTAAGAACAAACGAAACTATCATATCAACTGGTATCATCGATGGGTAAAATCAAAAGCTGCTAACATAAAGGAGCTTCCAAGCAATTTCTGTTGGGCCCAAAAAAACAGGCCTTTTCACTTGAAGTCCTCTTTCTGGGAATTTTCTGCTCATTTGGACAAGTGCTGGGGCCCGTCGAGTCACAGCCGTACTTGCTTGGATCCGTATATACAAGAGTCCGGGATGAGCAATTTTAATTTAACCCCTAGTGAGTGACTGAGAGATGAGATAACTGTGAATACAAGAACTTCCCATTACGCGGTCTCTGTGATTCTCTCTCTCAATTATTTGCGGTGTAAAAAACGTTTGAAATAAATGAGTGGCCTTGTTTCCTCTGTTCCAATGTGCTATATATAGCAGGGCGTTACAGGCTCAGAGTCCATACCCATTCATCCATCTCCTCTGAACCCACTTGGTCTCTCATTCTCTTCTTCTTAGCTTCTCAAGTTTCGAAGGACCAAACTTTGCTCTTTTAAGGTAAAAATCTCAACTGGGTTTTCCTGGAATCTCTCACCTACTCTGTTCTCCGTGCTCTTTCATGTTCGTTCCAGTATTCATTTCCTCATACTTATATTCAGGATTTAGTTTGTAACATTTGATGGGTTTGTTTTGAATTACTTGTATAACGGCTGTTGTGAATGTGCTTGATTGATATTCTGGTAGTTTGTATAGCAGGGTTTTATCGGCTTGTGTGCTAAAATTTCGTTCCGTTTTATACACTGAGATGAGTGCTTGATTTTGGCACTCTTGAAGATTTATTTGTTTATCTGTGTAACTTTGTTATATCTTCCATTGGGCGTATGCAGTTTAAATTTTTGTGATAAATTATAATTTCATGTTTGTTATACTTTCTTTACATGTTAATTTAGATGTTTTGGTGGTAATTTCCTCCTGCCTATTGAAAGAGCTTTAGGTAACGTGTTAAATTACTTTACTCTTTTTCCAGTTTTTCTATACTTCTCTTTCAGGGGTAAATTTTTCATGATTTTTAAAGTTCTGTGCAATATCTAGTCAGTGGATGTGGGTTTTAATTTGATGATTTTGAGTGTGACATAAATGCAAGCGTTGTGCTTAAGTAGCAGTTCTGTCGGTTAGTGATCCTAATTTGTACTTTTGGGTTTTGTTGTTTTCCTGGAGGATGTATGTTACTTGAGTTGGGTTCCTTTTCCTTTAATAGTTTAGTAGTGATAACTTTTTTGAGCTTTGTATAGCAAAGCTAGTAAACTGATCCGTAATTGATTGTAAATTGTAATACTAAAGTCTTCATTTTTTCCATTGAATCTAATCTTGCAGAATGGGGAGTACTGGTGGACATGACTATGGTGCATACACCTATGAGAGCCTCGAGAGGGAACCTTATTGGCCTTCAGAAAAGCTTCGAATTTCCATTACTGGGGCAGGTGGCTTTATCGCCTCACACATTGCTCGGAGATTGAAGAATGAGGGCCATTACATTATTGCTTCTGATTGGAAGAAGAACGAGCACATGACTGAAGACATGTTCTGTCATGAATTCCATCTCGTTGACCTTAGGGTCATGGATAATTGCTTGAAGGTTACCGAGAATGTTGACCATGTGTTCAACCTCGCTGCCGATATGGGTGGGATGGGCTTCATCCAGTCCAACCATTCTGTCATTTTTTACAATAATACTATGATTAGCTTCAATATGGTGGAAGCTGCTAGAATCAATGGAGTGAAGAGGTTTGATGTCCTCAACTTTGTACATTTTATCCTTGGTTGAAAATTTTAGTACCATTTGGCTGAGATGTATGAATTGGTACTGTTTGAGTTGATAATTGAGACCTTGCCTTAAAATGCTGTGAAGATATACTCAATCATATGTTCATGCAGGTTTTTCTATGCTTCTAGTGCTTGCATTTACCCTGAGTTTAAGCAGCTGGAAACCGATGTGAGCTTGAAGGAGTCTGATGCCTGGCCTGCAGAGGTATGCTTCTTAATGCTTATGATTTTGGACTCTATTTTTTAACTTATTTAATGAATTTTGTTTATTCACCTTTATTTGTAGCCTCAAGATGCCTATGGCTTAGAGAAGCTTGCAACTGAGGAGTTGTGCAAGCACTACACAAAGGACTTTGGAATTGAGTGTCGTATTGGAAGGTTCCATAACATTTATGGTCCTTTTGGAACCTGGAAAGGTGACCTCTTAATTGCAGTGATAACTGACATATATGCATAATTTTCTTGCTTTGTAGCCTAATTTTGTTGCTTCCTCCTATGTTTTGTATAGGTGGGAGGGAGAAGGCACCTGCTGCTTTTTGCAGAAAGACTCTCACTTCCACTGATAAGTTTGAGATGTGGGGAGATGGACTTCAGACTCGATCCTTCACCTTCATCGATGAATGTGTAGAAGGTGTACTTCGGTAAGCATTTCTTGTTTTGGAAAGAAAAAAAAAACTCGAAACTTTTACTAGCTGAAACTCACAATCTTTGCGTTTTTAAGCTGCAAAATACTTGGTCTTCATGGATCAGTTTTTTCTGTTTTGACAAGGTTTTCCTGAGTCTAGTTTAGTTGATTATGTTAGAATCAGCAAAATTAAACCTTTACAGGGTTACTTGAATGTGAATCTTTGCACTAATATATAAATTATTGTAGAAGTTCTGTAGAATAGGAGGGCGTTTTCCACTCCAGTACCTGTATGAGAATGGGAGATATGATCAAACAAATATCTTACATGTTTGAAAAACATTTGTTATTGAAGGGAAAGGCATTAATCTACTTAATGAAGAAATAAAAAACTTGTGTGTAATTTGTTTGGTTCATCTCTGGGAAAACGTACAATACCCTATACCAGATTATGGCTCTGATACAGCAACCTTTATTGAATATAAACTGCGTTTTACATTTTGCATGAAAATCCCCTTAAATTTTCCATATTATTCATGACTAGGCATATTTCACGCATTTTTTAAATTATCACTATTGTTTTTAGGTTGACAAAGTCAGACTTCCGTGAGCCAGTGAATATTGGAAGTGACGAGATGGTCAGCATGAATGAGATGGCGGAGATAGTTCTTAGCTTTGAGGACAAGAAGCTGCCTATCCAGCACATTCCTGGGCCAGAGGGTGTCCGTGGTCGTAACTCAGACAACACACTGATTAAAGAGAAACTTGGCTGGGCTCCCACCATGAAGTTGAAGGTAAATATTGAATGAGATTATGTGACATCTGATGTATCCATTCTGCAGTTTCTGAACACACCAAGTTTCGTTTAAAGTTGGGGGTTATTTGAACTATGCCTTACCTTGTATTGATATTGCTTCCTGTTTCTAATTTGAATTCACATTCTTTTCGCGTATAGGATGGGCTGAGAATTACATACTTCTGGATCAAGGAACAGATTGAGAAAGAGAAGGCACAAGGCACTGACCTGTCGATTTATGGGTCATCTAAGGTGGTGGGAACCCAAGCCCCAGTTCAACTTGGTTCGCTACGTGCTGCTGATGGCAAAGAATGAAGTGTTTGAAGACAGAGAGGTCTGGTAAAGCCAGTATTTAGTAGATTTGGTTATGGTATTGCGGCGCATAGTAATGCATCTATGTGCATGGACAATAAGCAGGGAAGCTTTAATTCCCCCATTGTATTTCTAGCCTGTTAGAGTAATTTGCTGCCTTAGAATATTCCCTTTCAAGTCATATTTTGTTTCCCCATCTGACGCATTGCTCAGTATTATGTATTATTTCCTTTATAAGATTGAATTTTGGTTCAATGCCATGACCTCTATCGATTGTTGAGATTGGTCGCTTTCAATAGACGTGGTATCTGCAATCTGCATGTTTGAATTTTTGATGGCAAGGGGTTGCCTGAATATTATTGGACAACTCAAATGTTTATGCTGTTTTGTGTTTGCAAAATATGATGTGGTATTTCTATTTCTACTGTGGTGGGAAGATAATTTCCCCTCTTTGGAGCCCAGCTCTCTCTTGTGGTCCTTGTAAGGTGACACATAAGCTGTCATAATCCTACCTCACCTTTTTTCAAAACTTTAAAATCCAAACACCCATCACACACATCCATCAATTTTCTCAACTGCCATTTCTGGCCATAAATTCGCA